CTCACTTATTTGAGGCCGGTGCCGCGGCTCACTAGGCTAATCCTCCACTTGTAGTGCCGGCACACCGGGTTCTAGTCCTGGTTGGGGTGCCGGATTCTGTCCTGGTTGCTCCTCTTCCAGGCCAGCTCTCTGCTGTGGCCCGGGAGTGCAATGGAGGATGGCCCAAGTGCTTGGGCCCTGCACCCCATGGGAGACCAGGAGAAGCACCTGGCTCCTGGCTTCAGATCAGCGATGTGCGCTGGCCGCAGCGGCCATTGGAGGGTGAACCAACGGCAAAGGAAGACGTTTCTCTCTCTCTCTCACTGTCCACTCTGCCTGTCAAAAAAAAAAAAAAAAAAGAAAAAAAAGAAGCCAAGACCCAAGAACTCCACCTGGGTCTCCCAGGTGTGTGACCGGGACCCAAGCACCAAGGTCATCATCCACTGCCTTCCCAGGCACATTAGCAGGGAGCCGGATCGGAAGTGGAACAGCAGGGACCAGAACCAGTCACCCCAATAGGTGATGTGGGTGTCCCAAGTGGCAACCTAACCTACTGTGCCACCATGCCCATTCTGATCGTTGCCTTTTTAAATGAATAAATCTTTAGATTTCTAAGTCTGGTACGTATCTACTTAGGGTTCTGTAGGGGTCACCGTGGAAGGAGAACTTAAAGCTAGATGACACCCCTGAGAACACAGGAAAGAACCTTGACTCACCAGGAAGAAAAAGACCTGCACCATGCACCGAGCTGGGGGTGCTTGGGAAGTACCCATCAGGGAGCCTCAGACAACCCATTGTACAGGTTGGGATAATTGAGCCTTGGGATCTCAGCTTGCTCAGCTAATTCACCTTCCATATTGTCTGACCCCAGAGCTGCTCTCCTACCCACCCTGCAGCATGGATGCCTGGTGCTGTGGCATCTGGCTGACACATCTCAGCGTAGCCAAATGCAGTCTCCCCTCCCTACTCGGGGAAGCCGGAGGTGCAAACTGGCCAGCACCCTCAATTCTTCTTGGAGCTCTACCCGCTGCTCTGTGAACTAGGAGGCACAGCAAACACAGCTCAATGTTGAATTCCGAGTGGGGAGGCCCATTCGGCTGGGGTCTTCTGGGGCCATCAGCTATGTTTAAATGAGACCGGAAGTCGGAAGACAAAAGTCAGTTTGTTTCATCAGCGGAGAAAGCCAGACTTGAGGGGTCAGGAAAGAAGCAGGTCTCAAGTGTAATTTGAGGACGTCACTCCTTGTGGTCACTACAATCCTTTTCGGAAGAAATCAGGTACAGAGAGAAGAGAAGGCTTAAGCCACAGTAACGGTGTGACGGCCTCAGTGCAGTGCCTTTGGTGACTTTGCTGTGACACAATTTTCCAAAATGGTGCATAACTCTCAGCAAGAAAATATCAAGTGACCTCAGCAAAGATGAAATTATTTATAATGCCAGCTTAGTTAATAACATTTACACCTGAAATTAAAAGAATCTTACAATCGTATTTATCCAAATCAACAATGTCAGGGAAAAAAGTCTGAATTCTTTCCCATTTGTTTGGGTTTATTTTTATTACAGTCCAACGAAACAGTCAGAACTAAAGTCCTCAAAAGTAATAACAGTTATCCAAGCTTCAGCATTCACAGCGAGCCCTCACAGAATCAATAATTAAAAAAATCATTGCAAAATACACTGAGTTTCTTGGTCTCTAAATAGATAAGGATGTAAATATTTAACTAGTACTTGAGGTTTATCTTATTTTTTTTAAAAAGATGTATTTATTTGAAAGGCAGTGTTACAGTGAGGCAGAGGCAGAGAGAGAGAGAGGTCTTTCCCCAAATGGCGGCAATGGCCACAGCTGGGCTGAACCGAAGCCAGGATCCAGGAGCTTCTTCCAGGTCTCCCATGGGGGTGCAGGGGCCTAAGCACTTGGGCCATCTTCTACTTCATTCCCAGGCAATAGCAGAGAGCTGGATCGGAAGTGGAGCAGCTGGGACTCAAACCAGCGCCCATGTGGGATGCCGGCGCTGCAGGCCAGGATTTTAACCCTCTGCACTATGGCACTTGCTCCAAAATTTATTCATTTATTTGAAAGGCAGAGTTACAGATAGGCAGAAAGAGAGAGAGAGAGCGAGCGAGCGAGTGATCTTCCATCTGCTGGTTCCTTTCCCAAACGGCCGCAATGGCCACAGCTGGGCTGATCCGAAGCCAGGAGCCAAGATGGAGGCACTGCCGGCGGTGTCTTACCCGCCACACCATGCTGGCCCCAGCCTTCCCTGTTCTCAACCTTTCCCTCCCCCAGTCCTCAGTCTCCCAGACCCCAAGATCCTCCCTGAGGCTCCCTTCCGGATTCTGCGCCCCACACCAGGAATGGGTGCACTTCCTTCCCAGCGCACAGCTTGGGAAGGCACCTTTCAGGCACCCAGACGTCCACAGACAAGGCGCCCGGCAGTGTGCTTCTCCCTCAGGCTGGCCTCTGGGCTTTCCTGCCGTGGTTGGCATCCTTTAAGGGGGCAGTCGCCTGGGCTTTGGAATCCCAGGATCACATCCCCTTGTTGGCCACCTGCTCTGCCTCGAGTTCCTGTCCAGGGGAATGAAGATGAGCTGTGAGAGGGTAACACGATAGCTCCTGTGTAAAACAGCACTGGCCCAGTGTTTGAGGTGGTGGTGAAGGCACCCCGGGAGTGCCCGTATCCCATGGCAGAGAGCCTGGGCTTCAACTGCAGCTCTGCTTTCCACCCCAGCTTCCTCCCCACGCACCCCTTGGGAAGCAGCAGGCAATGGCTCAAGTACTTGGGTGCCTACACCCACATGGGAGACTCAGATTGAGTTTCTGGCTTCTGGCTTTGGCCTGACACAGCCCTGGCCCTTGTGGGCTTTGGGGAGTGAACCCGCAAGTGGAAATCTCTGTCTGTCTCTATCTCTCACATAAACAAAGTAAAGAAATAGGAGGGGGCATTTAGCCTAGTGGATAAGATACTGTTTGGGAAGTCTGAGTTCCATGTTGGACCACGTGGGTCCAAGTCCTAGTTCTGTCTCAGGTTCTAGCTTCCTGCCAGTGTGCACCCTGGGAGGCCACTGGTGGTGGTCCAAGTACTGGATTAAATTCTGGGCTCCTGGCTTCAGCCCGGCCCAGCCCAGGCTGTTGTGGGCACTTGGGGAGTGAACCAGTGGATGGAAGACCTCTGCCTGCCTTCCTCACTCTGCCTTTCAAACAAATAATACAGTAATACAAATTTACAAAACTAAAAAAGTCTTGGCAATGTATACTGACTCTCCATTTCTCTCGATTGTACAAATAGAATGCATACAAACACAGCAGTTGTGTTTCTTGGTGCACAGCAAGTACCTTTCAAGTTCCAATCTATCCAAGCGGGCTGGAAAAAAAAAAAAAAACTGCTATCAGAAAAGCCATAAAATATGATCATGTTCTCTGTACCCACTGCATTTTTCTGATAAGAGAGAAGAGATAAGATCCAGACATTCTCAGCAGTTTCTGGCATGTGAAAACTTAGCACTTGGCGAAGTCTAGCAACATTGCAACACATTTTCGTGTTACTCTTGGGTCAGGGGCCAGGCTTGGGTCCTGAACGTACCTGCTCCTACTTGCCAAGCACAACCCAGGATTCCTGGGCTGGAGGAGCTCCCAGGGTGGGCTTGGCCCTGCATTCCTGCATCTCTGCAGAGGTTTGTAGAGCAGGAGGGTGGAGCGTCTGGCCCCCACCCACCCACAGGACTATCTGACTTCCTGGGAATTAATTACATTGTATTCCAGACTAGGAAGGGACATCAAAGAAATAAAAGGTAAAGTTCTGCTCTGGGTGAGCTCCAGAGGAGGAACAGCTACTACACGGGGAGCCAGGCTCAGCGCAGGGCTGCATCCTGTCTGAGTGTCTCGCTCTGCACTCGGAAGGCCGCTGGCTCGTTGGTTGCCACTGGGCCTCCTGCCTACACCGGTTCCCTCCCCCTAAGATAGCTTGGAGGAGCTTTGTGCTCAGCTGACCTCTCTTAGTGTTCCACACGCCCCCCACCTCGGCCTGCACCCATTCTCACCCTGCTCTAGTCCCAGGAGGCCTTCCCACCAGGACCACCCTCGGGGCTGCTTAGGGCAACATACATCCCAGGACCCCTGCTGGCTCCAGCCCAGGACTCCTGCTGGCTCCAGCCCGTGGAGCGCTGGCAGCAGAGACAGGCGTGGATGCAACCGCCCAGCTCCCGCCGCAGTGGGGTCGCCGAGCACTTGGCCCTGGGCAGGCGCCCCCCCCCCCCATTCCTCCTCTTCTGTGGATTGTGCACACCCCACTTCTAGCCTGGCTGGTGGGCCATTTGTTACTGCCAAGGAGGCTGCGACCCTGACTGACCCCTGCGGTTGCATGGAATGCGGCAGGGAGCAAAGACCTCCCCACCCCCGTGCCTTTAGCATCCGGTCCTTCAAGACCCCTTACCTGTCACATGACTCCAGGTAAGGCGCGCCCCCTCTCCGGGGCTCCGTATTCCAAGATACAATATATCTAGACTAAAGGACGTGCAGGTGCTAACTCGAGATTATCACGGGTGTGTGCTTTGAGTCTGAGTTTTGCAGCCGCACGCAGAGGGCGCTGAGCCTACAGAAAAGCAGGTGGGGAGGCGGAGCAGGCGCATTAGGAAACACAGCCAAGCTACGTGGCATAGCAGGGATCCAGGGACTGGGCCCAGCAGCTGGATTTGGGGCACAGCTGAGGTTGGTGCTTCGGTGCGCTCCGCGAGGCCAGGACCTGGAGGCGGCGGGTCGAGCCGACCGCACGGCCCCACGCACAGCCAACGCTGGCAGCCCCTGTGGGGCCCAACAGACGGCCATTCCTTCGGTAGTCTCCTCACTACCTGGCAGGAGAGGGAAGGAGCAAAGGCATCGGCCGAGGAGCCGTCAGGCCGAAGCGCGGGGCGGGGCGGCGCCGCAGGGCGCCGGGGCTCGAACCCGCGCCGCGAGGACCCGCCCGCGACTCGCGTGGCAGGGGGAGAGGTGAAGGGGGACAGGCAGGGCCATGTGATTGGTGCGCGCCTTCCCGCCCAGCCAATGGGCGTCCAGGGCGTCTCGGGAGGGCGGGGCGGAAGCCGCGCCTAAAGCCCCGTGACGCGCGCCGTCCCGCTGCGCTCCGCCGCTGCCGCGTGTCGCCGCTGTGCCCTCCGGCGCCGTCAGGTACCCGCGATCGCCGCCGGGCCGGGGCTCGGCGAGCGGGCGCGCGCGGGCGACCCGGGATCGGCTCGGCGGGCGGGCAGCCCGTGCACGCCGTGGGCAGCCGGGGTCCCGCGGCCTGGGGCTGTGGGCCGGGCGCGATGCGTGGCAGCCCGGGCGGCGCCGCCCCGCGCCCCGGGGTTTCTGGGCGGGACGCGTGTGGGGGCGCGGGGCGGCGGGCAGGGTGCGTTCTGCATGCTGGCGGGGGACCGGGCGGTCGGGCCGGGGCTGGGGACGCCGGCGCGGGCTGCGGAGAAGGGGCCGAGCCCCCGCGGCTGCCTCCGGCCCCGCGCTCCACCCGCCCGCTCGCTCTGAGTCTTTATCCGGACCGGAGCGTGGGGAGCCGCGTCCTTATCTGCGCCGGGAAGCGCGGGCTGGCGAGGTGGGGTCACGGGCCCGGGGCCAGCGCGGGGCGCCCGCGCCCTCGGCGCACGATCGCGGGGCCGCGGGTGGGGTCGTGGGGACCCCAGCCCTGCGCGGCCCGCGGCCTCTCGCCTTCCTGGCGTCCACGGCCACTTCTCAGCTACGTCGAGGCCGTGAATTTAGCGGGGAGGGCGACCGGGAGCAAGTGGCCGGGTTCCAGGTCCCGATCTGTCCTGCCGGGCCTCTGGAGAAAACTGGTTCTTTCACTGGCACCTGGAAGTGCCCTTTCGGTGGTAATGCAGAATCCTAATCTTAATCCGTTTGACGGGAACAATGGGCCCCTTTCATTAGAATATCCAGTTCTGCCTTCAGAGAAAATCCAGTTCTTACTAAGAAAAAGGAAGGAAAAGTCGAATCTTGACGCACTAGTTTAAATTGCAAAGCGCATTGTTTTGGGGTTGCCGTTTTTTTTCTTGGTGCTTACAGATTAATTTTGCATTCTCTGCCCTGCGCCCCAGACCGAGGATAGGTAATGAAATATTTTTCCCTCTGAGGCTGTCTTCAATGTGCTTCCCTCATAGTTTGCTTTTATTACTATTGTTTTGTGCATGCTTTATGCCGTTTACTGAGGTTTTGTTTTTTTTTTTTAAGTTTATTTATTTGAAAGAGTCACAGAGAGAGAGAGAGAGAGACAGATCTTCCATCTGCTGGTTCACTCCCCAAATGGCTGCAAAGGCTGGGCCAAAGCCAGGAGCTAGGAACTTCGTCCTGTCTCCCACATGGGTGCAGGGGCCCAAGCACCTGGGCCACCCTCCACCGCCTTCCCAGGCCACAGCAGGGAGCTGGATCAGAAGTGGAGCAGCTGGGACTGGAACTGGATGCAGGCACAGCAGGTGGCGGCTTAACCTGTTACACCACAGTGCTGACCCCTCTCCTGAGTTCTTGAGGCTGGGTTGAATGAGGGGCCTGGGCTTGGGAGGTGTGTGGAGGGTGGAGTGGCACTGGCCCAATCCTTTCCGAGTAGTAATGCGTTGCTTGGTTGTCAGTGACGTACTTGAGCTGCATTTTAGCCAGCATATTGATTACCTAATACAGAGCTTTTGTTGGCAGAACCTTTTGAAAAGGTCTGTGTTTGTGAATGGCTCCCTCAAGCAAGGTAAATATTTGCCAATAGCAAAATCAAATTTACTCCTCAGATGGAATATGACTTTACACTGATTATTGTTGTAGAACTGTTTAAGGACTCCGTGTTTAATAGTATGGGCTAAATGCACTCTTCACAAAGCAGCCTTTTGAGGGTGTGCTGGGGTGGGTGGACCAGGTGGGGGATCAGGCAGCCTGGTCATTAAGTGCATGACTTAGAGCAGCCTGTGTCAAAGCTTTCCCTTGAATCTAGCAGTTTTTTCTCATTTCCAGGACTTGAGCATCCATTAACGGTGCAGCTTGGGTGAATGAAACACATGACACAGATTTTGGTCTGATGAGGAGGCCTCTCTCTCTCTCTCTCTCTCTCTCTCTCTCTCTCTCTCTCTCTCTCTTTTCTCTCTCCCTCCCTCTCTCTCAGCAAAGAGAGACTGACAGACAGTGAGAGTGAGCGGCCCTGTGCTGGGTCCCTCCCAGCTGCCCTCGGCGGCAGAGGTTGCATCAGACTGGAGCCTGGAGCCAGGATCTCAAGTGGGTGGCGGGGATCCAGCTACTTGAGCCAGCACAGCTGCTTCCCGGCGTGGGTGTTAGCAAGAACCTGGAGTCGGGGGCCAGAGACGGGGCTCACACCCGGGCCCTGCACGGTCCCTCCGCGTCTCTACCACCAGGCCACATGCCTGCTCCTGAAGTGGCTGCCTTCTTAGGGTCAGCGTGACCGGGGTGGGTGACGTCATGTCCCTCTTGATGCTTTTAGTCGCTTTCTGTTGCTGTCTTGACCCGGTCCTGAGTCCTGCCCATGTTTGGGAGTGACTGCGCTCTCTTGCAGACAGAATGCCAGACCTGGGTTAGGTTCTGGGGACGGAAAGTGTATCTTAAAGACACAGTCACTGGCTTTTTAAGGAGCATAGAGTCAGGGGTTAAGACTCTGGGAGTCTTTGGGAGGGACTTCTGTGGTACATTTTACAACTCCAATATGTGTGATATTTGTGCCTAGAAAAACAAGTGCTATCTTTTAAGGATGAATTGTAGGTAATTTTTGATCTGTATTCTAATTTTTTAGCAGTAGAAAAAAATTTAAAGCAAAACATCCAGTTAAAAAAGAAACCATGGTACTGGCGTCGCGGCTCACTAGGCTAATCCTCCGCCTTGCGGCGCTGGCACACCGGGTTCTAGTCCCGGTCGGAGCGCCAGATTCTGTCCCGGTTGCCCCTCTTCCAGGCCAGCTCTCTGCTGTGGCCAGGGAGTGCAGTGGAGGATGGCCCAGGTGCTTGGGCCCTGCACCCCATGGGAGACCAGGAGAAGCACCTGGCTCCTGGCTCCTGCCATCGGATCAGTGCAGTGCGCCAGCCATGGTGTCCATTGGAGGGTGAACCAGCGGCAAAAAGGAAGACCTTTCTCTCTGTCTCTCTCACTGTCCACTCTGCCTGTCAAAAACAAACAAACAAACAAAACCATGGCACTGTTTTTTTTGACCAGTTCCAACACTGGCTAGTTCCTTGTGAGGGAATGAGTGGCCATTTTGTTCTGGGTTTGGCGCTCGGACATTAACGCGCTCAGCCCTCAGTGACGCTCCTGGTTGGCTCCCCTGCGTCCACCGCAGGGAAGTGGAGCCCAGCAACAGTGCCAGATCAGAGATACTCCGAGCCATGGAGATGTAAATCCTATTTTTTTTCTAGTTTTTTAAAATTTTTTTATTTGACAGGTAGAGTTGTAGATAGTGAGAGAGAGACAGAGAGAAAGGTCTTCCTTCCGTTGGTTCACTCCCCAAATGGCTGCTATGGCTGGCGCGCTGCGCTGATCCAAAGTCAGGAGCCAGGTGCTCCCCTCCTTGGTCTCCTGGGGTGCAGGGCCCAAGCACCTGGGCCATCCTCCACTGCCCTCCCGGGCTGCAGCAGAGAGCTGGACTGGAAGAGGAGCAACCAGACTAGAACTTGGTGCCCATATGGGATGCCGGCGCTGCAGGCGGAGGATTAACCAAGTGAGCCACGGCGCCGGCCCGAGAATGTAAATCCTGGCCTCACCCGACGCCTCCACTCTCACCTCCCGCTTTTCCAGACCTTTTTGGGAGAGGAAATTAGTGATGCTGGCTATTTTTAAGCCCGTCTTCGGTCTGTTCTAATGTTTCCCTGTTGGTGCCAGGCCCAGTAACGGAGCACCGAAGGCTGGGTTTTCAGGGTTCTGGGACAGTCTGGTGCGTGCAGCTTCTGACCCTTCCTGCTTGGATGAAATCTCTAGAGCTTGTTTTTAAAGAACCTAAGAATAAGTACCAGCAGTGTTTGGAATGTCACTGTTCTGTCCTTAAGTAGTGATTGTTCCTTAGTAAAGTTACCTGAGGGGCCAGCATCGTGGTGCGGCTGGTAATGCTGCCGCTTGCAATACCCGCATTCCGTATGGGTGCTGCGTTCATGTCCTGGCCGCTCCACTTCTTCTTCTTCTTTTTTTTCTTTAAAGATTTATTTATTTATTTGAAGGACAGAGTTACAGAGAGGCAGAGACACAGAGAGAGGTTTTCCATCTGCTGGCTCAATCCCCAGATGGCCACAGTGGACTGAGTTGCGTGATCCAAAACCAGGAGCTTCTTCCAGGTCTCCCACGTGGGTGCAGGGACCCAAGCACTTGGGCCATCTTCTGCTGCTTTCCCAGGCACAGCAGAGAGCTGGATCGGAATTGGAGCAGCCAGGACTAGAACCAGCGCCCATATGGGATGCTGGCACTGTAGGTGGTAGCTTTACCCGCTAAGCCACACACCAGCCCCTGCTCTACTTCTGATCCAGTTCTGAGCTACTAGCCTGGCAAGGAGCGGCAGAGGATGGCCCAAGAGCCTGGGCCCCTGCCACTCACGTAGGAGACCTGGATGAAGCTCCCGGATGGCCATCTGCAAAGAATCAGTGGATTCACTGTCTTCTGCTGCCTTCTCGGGTGCGTTAGTGGGAGTTGGATCAGAACTGGAGCAGCCAGGACTCACACCAGTGGCTCATATGGGGTGCCAGAGTTACAGGCCTCGTTGGAGCCTGCCATGCGGTGGTGCCAGCCTCTTGCTTGCAGGCTGTTTGGAGTTCCTCTGCCAGGTCCTCACAGATGAGCTTTGATGAGAATTTAGGGCCGCCCTCTGGAAACAGGAGCTCTAGACTAATCATCAGCCAGGATGCTCTTCCTGGGGTCATGACCTCCACCTTCAGTTCCTCTAAGCACTTGAAATGCCTGCATAACATTATGGGTGGGTGTGTGGAACCTTCTCACCCTGTGGACATGTTTATGTACGGCTGTTTCTCCACATTCCTGAGTCTTTACAGTAAATCTTGGGAGTGAAACTGTTGATCTGAGTGCAGACACTGATCAGGCTTTTTGTGCCTGTAACTTCAGAAAGCAGTTTCTGTTTAGGGTACCTCCCGATGTAGCCTGAGAGGACACACTGGGGTGTGCTGGCTAATTTGATGTTTACATTTTTTAGATGGTTAAACAGAACTAATATGCACTCAGTAAAATATAAAAAGCCCAAGAAAGAAATTCTAAGTGTTTTTGAAGTATTTTGGGGAAGTTATATCTGATACAAGTAGGCTTTTTTGTTATTAAAGATTTATTTATTTGAAAGGCGGATTTAGAGAGACAGAGAGAGATCTTCCACCCACTGGTTCCCTCCCCAGCTGGCTGCAACTGCCAGGGTTGGGCCAGTCTGAAGCCAGGAGCCAGGAGCTTCTGTTTTTGCTGGCAGTCCCCTGTAGTCAATGGTTCTCCTGTCACTTTTTTTTTTTTTTTTTTTTCTGTTGTTGGTACATTTCTGGAGAGTTGTGGACTTTCTCCTTAGGAAGAAAGTACATCTGCTTAAAATTCTGGCTTTTATTTCAGGAGTTGTTGGACCCTCTGAAGACTGTCCCTGCCTGGGTCTCTGGTTAAAAATCTGTATTCCGGTCTGAACCGTGGGAAGACACTAGTTGGTGAGTCTTTGGCAAACTGTAGCGCTGGGTTTTGTTTAGGAATTGCAAATTCGTGAACATACTGGATTTACTGGGCAGTGCCAAGTTGAAAGGGAAGCAAGCCAAGCTCCAGGTGTTGTGTTTTGTTAATTTGGCACTTAGGTCAACAGGGAGGTGAGATTATGCGTGGCGTGACTTATCATTGACAGAGTTCTGTTGAAACACGAATCCACACGTACATAGCTTCCTCCTTACTTCACGGCCTGCGGTGGTGTTGGGCAAGAAGTTGGATGCAAAGAGGGGTGGGAAAACTTGTGGTGGGGGCTGGAGAGAGTAGCAAGACCCTGAAAGAAACAGCACAAGGGGTGAACGCGGCCGTGCGCGGTGACGGGGAGGTTTAACCGACGTTCATCCAGTTCCTTATCACCTGTTCTTCAAACAGGTGCACTCATGGTACAATTTGTGGGAGGATAAGTTTTATAGAAACAGCCTCCCTGGTTGTATTTGCCTGTTTTCCTCTTTTATATATAATTTTTTTGGCCTGTTCAACTTATTGTAAAAGCCTTTGACGGCTGTTATGAATTACAAAACATTTTTCTCCAGTCTTTTTGCCTTTTACCTTTATGGTACTTTTGATCTATAGAAATTTTTTAAAGATTTATTTATCTTTTTTTGAAAGAGCAACAGAGAGGTATCTCCGTCTCCTGGTTCACTCCCCAATGGCTGCAACAGCCAGATCTGGACCAGGCCAAAGCCGGGAGCCGGGAGCACCATCCCAGTCTCCCATGTGGGTGGGAGGGGCCCAAGCCCTTGGACCATCTTCTGCTGCTCTCCTAGGTATATTGGCAGGGAGCTGGATGGGAGGTAGTGCAGCCAGGACTCGAACAGGCACTCTGATACAGTTTGACCTGCTGTGCCACCATGCTGGCCCCCTACGGGAGTTTTTGATATTTGTGGCAAAATGACAGGTTTTGCTTTTTATAGTTTCTGCCTTTGGTGTTAAGCTCTTCTCACCCCTCCTAAGTTACCACTTGCCCTACACCTGTCCCTTTTCTTTTAGGACAGTTCTTGTTGTCATCTTAGAAACCACGTTCTCCCCTGCATGCAGCAGTTCTTGGTGCCTCGGGCTCCTCCTCTGGGTGCTGCCCCGCAGTGTGCTGGGTGCTCAGCAGTCACTCCACGGGTCCGTGCGTCCCTGCCCTAATGCTCTCTCTTCCCTTCAGACAGATCTCTGCCTTCCTGCTGAAGAACACGATGTTTTCCAAGCTAGCACGCCTGCAGACGGTCGCTGTGCTGCGTAGAGGAGTTCATTCTTCCCTGGCCTCTGCCACGTCTGTGGCAACGAAGAAAACAGTCCAGGGCCCCCCATCCTCGGAGTACATCTTTGAGCGGGAGTCCAAGTATGGCGCCCACAATTACCATCCTTTACCCGTGGCCCTGGAGAGAGGAAAAGGTACGTTCCAGGGGCTCCATCTGCCCTCTTTCTGCTTGAAAGCCTTTACAAAAATGAGCTGCTCTTGCGTTTCCTCCGTGTCCGTTTTCCCAGACACGCTGAGCGTCTGTGTGCGGGCTCTGTTGCTCCAGCCTTTACTCATTGGCTGGGGTGCTGTGGGGCCACCAAGATGAACCGTTTGGTCTCCGTCGCAGTGGAGCTCGGTGCGAGCGAGGCGAGAGAGAGTGGAAATCCTGCAGTGCTGCCGTCATTGTTTGCCTTTTAGTTTTTGACAGAATTTCAGATTGAACAAAGGAAAGTTGTGATCTAGGACTAAAAAGCTTGTTACTCTTCCCCGGGCTCTCCCGAGTGCCGGCATTTGACCACTCTCCTCTACGGCGTTCTCTTTCCTCCTCCCAGCTCCCTTGTAGACGTTTTCCCCCTGAACTGTGAACTGTTGAGGGGAGGGTGCCGTGTGGTGGTGTGGAGGGGCGCAGAGACAAGGGACTGCAGGCCAAGCCAACAGGAGACTGAGGCCACGTCCCTGAGTGTAGCGGGCACCTCGTCCCCTTGGCTGGAGCACCCTGCTCGCAGCTCCCACCAGTCCGGAAGCTGCAGGTGCTGCTGGGGCCTGTGCTCCTGCCCGGCACCTCACCTGCCTCCTGCCCCGCAGTGTGGAGGTTCAGTGGAGCCCTGCGCTTTTCTTCCCCTCGTTTTCTTATAGAAATACTCTCCGCTCTAAACCAGCAGCCGGTTCTCAGATGTCAGCTGTGGGAACTTGTCCCAGGGCCCTGGGCCTTTCTGGCCAGCAGCTGTAATGCTGCAGTCAGTCTCTCATTTCAGAGACCCCTCAGTCTTCAGAGGTTTGATTGACACTGACGGCAGACGACGACCCGGGTCAGGAGTGGATTCAGCTGTCAGGTGTCTCATCTTGCATCCACAACAGCTCCTCCGTCTGTCTTTGTTCTTCCTGGTCTTGATACTGTTGACCTGTACAGGACAAGAACTTTGTAGGACGCATCTCAACCTGGGGTTGCTGGTGTGTTCTTGTAGGAGTGGAGTTGTGCACATGGTGTTGTGTGATGGTGCGCTACTCTGTGTGCCCGGTCAGGTGGTGACCGCGTCGTCCCGTGCTGGAGTGGCACCTGCCAGGCTGCCCTCTGCAGAGTGCTGGCCTTCCCTATGCAGTTGGCGTCTGGTGGGACACAGGCTGAGAATCTAAAACCTTGTTGCTCATGCAAGGACGCTTCACAAACCCAGCATCTGTTAATGATTTCTGCCTTAATGAATGCTCACTGTGCTGGTTGCCAAATGGGGATTTAATCTGCATTTTGAAATAATAGCCTTGACCAGATTCGGCCAAAGGTTAGCACCTAGCTCGGTGCCGCAGATGCCGATCGCGGGTGCTGCACCTTGCTGTGATTGCCCGGGTTCTCTTTGGGGCCTGTTGCTGTCGTGCAGACTTCCCTTCAAACCAACGAAAATCTGGATCTGTGGATTCCAAAGGTGGAGCGAGTTCTTTTACAGAAAAAATTCTTCACCTGCGCTAGCGACATGTGGGCTCGGAGGGTCTGCCGCCGGGATAGAGTCCTCCCTGGGTGCCAGGTTGGGCAGTGACTAATCCCAGCTCTCTCCAGAGGGTTTTGATGAGCTCATGTAGCCAAGAATCTGCGGTACCTGGGAAAAGGCAGACTCCAACAAACCCCCCAGTACATTTTACTGTCTGTAGTCAGCGGTCTTTTTAACTGTTGTAACATACGTGCAACGGAACGTTTACCCCTGGAAGCATGCAGTTCAGTAGCATTAAGTGCACTCCCAGTGTTGTGCAGCCCCCTCTGTTCCTAACTCCAAAAGGACGCCTGGTACCCACCAAGCACTGGTTCCCCCTGCCCTCCGAGCCTAATGCAACCACTCACCTAGTCAGGGCTTCCTGTCTTAGAGCTCTCTCTCTCCTGATATTTCACAGAAATGGGGTCTGTAATATGTGGGTTTTGTGACTGTCTTCTTTCACTTCGCCTAAGGTATCAAGGCCCAGCCATTCCTTGTAGCATTCCTTTGTGGCTGAGTAACATTCCCCTGTGTGCATAGACACGGTTTGTTCATTCTTCACTTGGTGACAGTTGGCTTGTTTTCACCTGTTGACTCTTGTGAATAGTGCTGCTGGGAATACTTGTGTAAGTTTGCTGTGTGTCTATGTGGCTTTAAAGATGTATTTTATTTATTTAGAAGGTAAAGTTACAGAGAGAGAGGTCTTCCACCTGCTGGTTCACTTCCCAAATGGGTGCAATGGCTGGGGCTGGGCCAGGCTGAAGTCAGGAGCCAGGAGTTTCTTCCAGGACGCCCACATGGGTGCAGAGACTCAAGCATTTGGGTCATCTCCTGCTGCTTTCCCAGGCACGTTAGCAGGGAGCTGGATCGTAAGTGGAGCAGCTGGGACTTGAACTGGTGCCCAGTGGAATGCTGGCGCTGCAGGGAGAGGCTTAAACTGCTACGCCACAGCCCCAGCCTCTTGGTGTAAGTTTCTGTTTGAACATCTGTTTTCCAATTCTTTTGCATATATACCTAGGTAGGAGTAGAATTGCTGGGTTACATGGGAATTCTGTGTTCAGCTTGTTGCCAAAGTTTCCTTTAAAAAAAAATGGCCAGGCAGGGACTGGTACTATGGCATAGCGGGTAAAGCTGCCCAATGGCAATGCCACCATCCCATAAAAGCACCAGTTCAAGTCCCCACTGTTCCACTTCTGATCCGGCTCCCTGCTAATAGCCTGGGAAAGCAGAGGAAGATGGCCCAAGTGCTTGGGCCCCTGCACCCACATGGAAGACCCGGATGAAACTCCTGGCTCCTGACTTCTCTGGCATGCCCATCCCCAGGTGTTACGGCCATCTGGAGAGTGAACCAACAGATGGAAGGTCTCTCCCTCAATCTGTAACTCTGACTTTCAAAAAAAATCTTTAAAATACAACACACACACACACACACCCATTGTAGTGAGTGTGAAATGATAATTCATTGTGGTTTTAGTTTGCATCTTTTCATGTTTATTTACTGTATGTCTGGGGAAGTGTCTCTGGCTGTTTTCACATTGGGTTGTTTATCTTTTTGATGTTGAGATAACAGTTCTGTGTGCTACATCCTTATAAGAACATGATTTGAAACTATTCTACAGTCTACTTACCATGTTTTTGTCTGTTACATGTAGCTTCCCTACTTCTAAATTCTAATTTTGGCTCCTAAATATTATAATTAGGTAAAGATTTCATTCCAGAGTTTGCAATGTATTAGTACTGGGACTGGCGCTGTAGCATAGCAGGTAAAGCTACTGCCTGCAGTGCCGGCATCCCATATGGGCGCTGGTTCGAGACCCAGCTGCTCCACTTCTGATCCAGCTCTCTGTTATGGCCTGGGAAAGCAGTAGGAGATGGCCCAAGTCCTTGAGCCCCTGCACCCACGTGGGAGACCCAAAAGAAGCTCCTGGCTTTGGATTGGCGCAGTTCCAGCCATTGCGGCCAATTGGGGAGTAACCAGCAGATGGAGGACCTCTCTCTCTTTGCCTCTCCTTCTCTCTATATGTAACTCTGACTTTCAAATAAATAAATCAATCTAAAAAAAAACACACACACACACACACACATACAAAGAAATCCCACAATGTATTAGTGCCTTGTTTTCCCCCAGGTTTATTTGAGAGGCAGAGAGATACAGAGAGAGAGGTCTTTCATCCACTGGTTCACTCCCCAGATGGCCCCAATGGCTGGAGCTGTGCCAATCTGAGCCTATCTGAAGCCAGGAGCTTCTTCCGGGTCTCCCATGTGGGTGCAGGGGCCCAAGCACTTGAGCCATCTTCCAGTGCTTTCCCAGGGTTAGCAGAGAGTTGGATCGGAAGTGGAGCAGCTGGGACTGGAACCGGCACCCGTGTGGGATGCTAGCACACAGGTGGAGGCTTAACCTACTATGCCACAGTGCTGGCTGTGCTGCTCTTGTTAAAGCTTTCTTTTACTTGTTTGAAAGAATGAGGGAGGGGCGGGGAGAGAGAAAGAAGGAGAGGGAGAGATCATTGCTGGTTTACACCCAAATTCTTGTACCAACTGTGGCTGGGTTAGGCCAAAGCCTGGACTCAGGCTCTCAATCTCAGTCTCCCACGTGGGTGGCTGGAACCCAGCTTCTCGAGCCATCATCCAGAAGCTGGGATTGGGAGCGGAGCCAGACCTGGAACCCAGGCTCCCTGATGTGGGATACAGGCGTATCCAGTGGGGTCTTAACTGCTGCACCAAACGCCTGTCCTGCTGCTCTTATTAAATGTGTATTTGAAACGGAACAGAGAGAATATAATTCTCTATAATTTCCTTGTGAATTAATGTGTATTATGCCTGAGCTAAAAATCACCTTAACTGTAAGAATATATCTAGCAGGTGCTCTGAGGGCCTGCTGGCAGTCTGATCTTTGGACTTCATTCCATGTAGTAATTTTCTGTGGTTGTTTTCTTTTCTTCCTTGTGTGTTCCAGGCATTTATGTGTGGGATGTGGAAGGCAGAAAGTATTTTGACTTCCTGAGCGCTTACAGTGCTGTCAACCAAGGGCACTGTCACCCCAAGATTGTGAATGCCCTGAAGGCCCAGGCAGACAAGTTGACCTTGACGTCTAGGGCTTTCTACAACGACGTCCTTGGTGAATACGAGGAGTATGTTACTAAGCTTTTCAACTACCACAAAGTTCTTCCCATGAATACAGGTAAGGCACTTCCTTCTGTGTGTGTGGGAAATGTTCAAGAATGGAATCTTAAAATATTTTGTAATTCTGAAAAATTTTCTCGCCTGCAGGAGTGGAGGCTGGAGAGACTGCCTGTAAAATCGCCCGCCGGTGGGGCTATGCCGTGAAGGGGATTCCGAAGTACAAAGCCAAGATTGTCTTTGCAGGCACGTGAACTTGAACATGCACTGTCATTGACTGTTAGTTTACTGATGGAGTAGTACTCCTGTGGTTGCCTGGTACATGATACATCATTGGCTGAAGTTTTCATAAAAATTAATGAGGGGGCTGGCCATTGGTGTAGTGGGTAAAGCTACTGCCTGTGTGCCAGCATCCCATAAGGGCGCTGGTTCATGTCCTGCCTGCTCTACTTCCAGTCCAGCTCCCTGCTAATGGGCCTGAGAAGGCAGCAGAGGATGCTGCCCCCCAGTGGGAGACCCAGATGGAGCTCTGAGCTCCTGGCTTCAGCCTGGCCAATGTGGCCATTTGGGGAATGAATTAGCAAATGGAAGATTTCTCTCTCCCTCTCTCTTTAACTCTGTCTTTCAAATAAACATAATTAAAAATTAATGGAATTTTGAGTTCTTGGTTTTATTTCTAAGTTATTTCTTCATATCCAATGAGCTTTTTTTCTTTCTTTAATTTTAAAGATTTATTTGAAAGGCAGAGAGAGAGAATGAGATCTTCCATCTGCTAGTTTACTCCCCAAATAACTGCAATGGCCATAGCTGGGCTGATCTGAAGCCACGAGACAGGAGCTTCTTCCGGGTCTCCCACGTGGGGGCAGGGGCCCAAGTGTTAGAGGTGCCACCAAGCTGAGGTCCCAGCCAGGCACCCTGAGTGGGCGGAGGTGCAGGAAGAGAACCTCTGTGAGGAGGCCACCCGCGGCCCCTCCCTCCCCCCTGCTGCTCTCCTTCCTGAGGGCAGCCCCGTCGGACGTCCCGTACTGCTTGAGGCGACAAGTGTTTCCCATACCAGCCAGGCAGGGCCGTGGTGGTCCCCATTCGTCCCTGGCATCTAGGCAGTGCCTGACGCAGAGCAGGTCTACTGCTGGGTCCTCAGACCGCAGGGCAGGCACCTGCCATCGGGCATTTGGAAGGAACGCCACACGGGACATGTTGACTTGTCAGAGGCTGTTTTCTCCAGATGAGAGTGGAAATGCATCCTGTAGCTGGCCTAGAGCCTTGGGTTTTCAGAGGAAAACCACTGGTTGTCGCTCAAGGACGCTTTTTTTTTTTTTTTTTTTTTAACAGGCAGAGTGGACAGTGAGAGAGAGAGACAGAGAGAAAGGTCTTCCTTTGCCATTGGTTCACCCTCCAATGGCCGCCGCGGCCGGCGCACCGCGCTGATCCGATGGCAGGAGCCAGGTGCTTCTCCTGGTCTCCCATGGGGTGCAGGGCCCAAGGACTTGGGCCATCCTCCACTGCACTCCTGGGCCACAGCAGAGAGCTGGCCTGGAAGAGGGGCAACCGGGACAGAATCCGGCGCCCCGACCGGGACTAGAACCCGGTGTGCCGGCGCCGCTAGGCGGAGGATTAGCCTAGTGAGCCACAGCACTGGCCGAGGACGCTGTCTTAACATGGTGAGAGCGCACCTTTTCTAGAACGGGTGCATCGAAGGCGTCTGCTGCCAGCCTGTGGCGCTGGGCTGGGATCAGTGAAGGAAGGTGGTCTGTCCTTGGCTGCACTGCAGGCCGGGGCTCGGAGAGAAGTGCCTGGAGAGGTCCCAGGAGCAGATCTTGCTGTAAGGACAGAAACCTCCCTGGGGGTTCTCCAAAGCAAACGCCGTGATTGGTTTTGTTCTTGGTCAGTCTTCCCAAGACACTTCTGAGGGGTGGTGTTTATGGGATTTGGGAGTTTCTTTGAAACAATCACTGCGTGTTTCTCCTTTCCAGCTGGAAACTTCTGGGGTCGCACGCTGTCTGCCATCTCCAGCTCCACAGACCCCACCAGCTACGACGGCTTTGGGCCCTTCATGCCGGGGTTTGAGATCATCCCATACAACGACCTGCCTGCACTTGAGGTGTGTAGGGGTGTCGCGCGCTTGGCTCAGCGCGTATAGAAACTAACCCTGATGAGAGCTTGCACATGAGTTAAAATATATCTAACACTGATGGAAATATGTTTTACTTAAATAACAAAAATTTCACACTTGTTCTTTTTAATGGTCAATGTTGGTTCTCAACACAGGGAAAAACCGGTTCTGTGATCTGATCCGTACAACAAACCAGCCACCTTAGATTCATGTCTTTCAGAGCAGTTAACTTGTATATTACTTAATTACTAGATAAGATTTCTCAGTTCCCACCACTTTTTATTAAAGATTATAAAGCGTAGGACTTGTGTAGCTTTAAGATGGTGTCAAGAAGCCGTCTCCTTTAGGCTTTATTTTTAACAGGATCATGGGTGTGATTTATAGCAGCTTGTCGGCGCTTCTGGCAATTGTAGCTGTGGAGTTAGAATAGGTTAGTGCAGAGACTTTATTTGCATACCTTTTTAAACATTTATTTATTTGAAAGAGTTATAGTTGGAGGGGAGGGCAGTAAGAGAGAGACAGAGATAGAGAGAGAGGGGGGTCTTCCATCCACTGGTTAACTCCCCAAAAGGCCTCAATGGCTGGGACTGGTCCAGGCCAAAGCCAGGAGCCAGGAGCTTCTTCCGGGTCTCCCACATGGGTGGCAGGGACCTAAACACGTAGGTCATCTTCCACTGCTTTCCCAGGCCATAGGCAGAGAGCTGGGTCAGAAGTGAAGCAGCTGCCATGTGCGATACTGGCAACGTAGCCGGCAGCTTTGCCCGCTGTGCCCCAGTGCTGGCCCCGCATACTTATTCCTGACGGAGCATCCGTGTAGCTGTGATTTTCCGTTTTCAGGTGTGCTAGAAAGGAAGTCTCTGAAATGTGTTCTTGTTTCCTCTGCAGCGTGCTCTTCAGGACCCGAATGTTGCCGCGTTCATGGTGGAGCCCATTCAGGGGGAAGCGGGTGTCGTAGTCCCGGACCCGGGTTACCTAGTGGGAGTGCGGGAGCTCTGCACCAGGCACCAGGTTGTCCCCGCAGCCTAATTGCCCGCATTTCCGGGTCTGCTGGTAGGGTCAGTGCAGACTGATTCCCTCCCCACTACGCACTGGGGGAAACATCCTGCTGCAAGCCGCAGGACTTTCCAGTGTGCAGGTCTCCTGCTGCCTCTGGATGCCACAGACTCTGGCCTTGACTCCTTCCTGCACCCCGCCCTCCCCCACCCCCAGCACCGCTCTTCTCCCTTCCCAAACCTTTGTGCTTCCCCCACTCCCAGAGTAGGGACCTCCCTCCCCCTTCCCCCACCAGGGCTCCTAGAGGTGTTTTCCTTAGCATCGACAGTCCTGTCACCCAGTAAATGTCTGATCAATGTTTGTGGGATGAACAGGTGAAGGATTTCTTCCCAGAGGGTGGTTATGTCCAGGAAAGGCCCCTCGGGGGGAGCAGCGTGCAATGCTAGGTGGCCGACGCCTGCCCTGCTACAGCACGTGTTTCACCCAGTGGGAAATGTGCCCGAGGACCGGCCTGTGTGGGCACTGTATAGACGCTGGGATGGGAGTGACCACGACGGTGCCCTGCCAGCCTTGGTGTGGCCGCAGGGTTGTCACAGGCCAAGGGCAGCTGAGCTGCCTTCACAAACCCCAGGGCATTTCCTAATTCCACACTTGGGGTGCGGGAGGTGAAGTGAAGGTGGCTGTTTTCCCTGTGGAAATGAGCATGACCCTCAATGCTGCTGTGCTTGCCAACAGGTCTTGTTTGTTGCTGATGAGATCCAGACAGGGCTGGCCAGAACCGGTAGGTGGCTGGCCGTGGACCACGAGGACGTCAGGCCCGACATCGTGCTTCTGGGAAAGGCCCTTTCTGGTGGCTTGTACCCCGTAAGTGCAGCGCCCAGCCCCCCGTCCCCACTCTCGCCAGGGAGCCCTGCAAGGTGTTTCCTTTCTCCAAAGGTTTATTTATTTGAGAGTCAGAATGACAGGGAGAGACAGAGAGAGATCTTCCACCTGCTGATTCACTCCCCAGATAGCCACAGTGGCTGGGCTGGGCCAGGCTGAAGCCAGGAGTCAGGAGCTTCTTCCAGGTCTTCCCGATGGGTGCAGGGGCCCAGGCACTTGGGCCATCCTCTGCTGCTTTCCCAGACCATAGCAGAGAGCTGGATTGGAAATGGAGTGTCTGGGACTGGAGCTGGTGCCCATATGGGATGCCGGTGTTGCAGGTGGCGGCTTGGCCCAGGGGTGTTTTCCCATCAACTGGCGGTGAGGGTCAGGTTTCCCCCGGTGTGCCACAGGTGCCGGGGCTATCTAATGCAGGCTCTGCAGGGCTCCGGGGCATGCTCCCGAGCTCCTCTGGCTGAGGAATTGAGTGTGAATTTGGAAGGAAACACTTTCCCTCCAAAGTGCCCTGTGTGCTCTGGTCCTGCTTTCCCGTGTTGAGAGATGTGGCATGACTAACTGTTTTAAACAGTGACTGATGGAGCCAGAGATGGAAAAATGAAAGCGTTGATGTGGTTCTCTCCTTGTATTTGCCGCCCATGGCCTGTAACTGGGAGTAGACTGCAGGGCCTGGAGTAGAGAGGTTGTTGCTGAGCCGACTCCACTGTGTTTCTGAAGGCAGGCGCAACTTGGTTTTCCAAGCAGGTGAACAAAGCATTTCACCTTGAAATTGGAAAGGATCGGTAATTGTGTCACTGCAGAAATAGCTTTTCCCCACCTGTTAATCTGTGCCGTGAAGTGTGCCTCTTGTGTTTGTGACGTGTGAGGGTGTTACTCACTCAGCTGGTGGATGCGGACGTCAGCTCGTGTTTGTTGAAGCTGTGGGTAGATTGAATAGCTGCGTCACATCCGTGTCCGTGTTGCGGGGTGCTGGGGGAAGCATGTGCAGCCCGAGCAAGGGCGTGGGCCCCGCTGTCTTTCAGGTGTCGGCGGTGCTGTGTGATGACGAGATCATGCTGACCGTGAAGCCCGGGGAGCACGGCTCCACGTACGGCGGCAACCCGCTCGGCTGCCGCGTGGCCATCACAGCGCTCGAGGTAAACGACTGCTCAAGGGGCACTGCAGTTTAATTCAGGTCCATCCACTGCTGGGAAGCAATTTAGTAAGAGTGCCAAATCTTCGAGCACGAGAAGTGCAGAGGAAGGCTTCTAGGGGCAAGGCGTCTTTGAAATGTCGTTGGAACCCTGGCCTTGAACTCAGGCCCTGGCTGGCCCCGTCCTCCTGCCCCGGGACCACCCCCCAGGGCGCCCTGGCAAGGCTTCTGTGAGGCTGGATTTGGAGTGCTCTCCTAAATTGCCTGCTGAAGGCCAAAAATTAGGTAATCTTTAGGAGTGGACCTTTTAGGGGGAAAATTTACTCTATGGCAGTTTAAAAATTAAATTATACTTGCCTGTTGATGTGTCCAACTACTGGTTGTTTTGCCGTGAAGACAGTGACTGTGGCCTGGGGGCTAAGCCGGCTCTGGTTCATGGTGAACCACCGTGGGCCATGAAGGCAGGGACGAGTGCGGCCTTGGCCTGGTCTCCGTGCCAGCTCTCCCTTTGCAGGCACGCATGGGGCCTCACTCTTAAGCTTGGTGTCGTGTCTCTGCCTCAGGTTCTGGAAGAAGAAAATCTCGTTGAAAATGCAGAAAAGATGGGCGCCCTCCTGAGAAATGAGCTCATGAAGCTGCCTTCCGATGTCGTGACTGCTGTGAGAGGGAAGGGCTTGTTAAACGCCATTGTTATCAGAGACACCAAAGGTAAGGGGACACGAGAGGGGGAAGAGCTAGAATAGCATGGGCTGTTTGGTTGCTGGGATCCTCTGTTAACTGTTGTTGATGGCATCAGCAATACGGCTTTCTCCCACGTGAAGGCACCTTGAACTAACTGGGCCTATTCTCGTTCCTTGAAGACATTTGTGTCTGTCCGTCAGGTAGTGCGCGGCTCTGGGAGACGGCTTGTTCTCTGTGGTCTGCAGAATGCCGTTCTCGGCAGTTTCTCCTTTGCCCTCCCTTCTGCTGTCAGTGGGCTGGAGAGGCAGTGCCAGTGAGGACAGGAATGAAGGAGCCTGGGACTCCATCTGGGTCTCCCAAGTGGGTGGCAGGGACCCAAGCATTTGGGCCGTCTCAGGTGCACTGGCAGGAAGCTGGATCTAGAATCAGCGGGGAAGATTTTGAAGAATGAACCAAGGCCTGATCACACCTCAGAGATGCTGCTCGATGGGTCTGGGCGGGCACAGGCATCAGCGGCTGCTCTCGGGGGTCCTGTGGGCAGCCCGGGTGATGAGCGTTTAGTCACGAGCTCAGGAAGCAGCGTGTGGCGTGCCCTGGCCTTTGAGTATTGCCCATTCTGGTCCCTTAATTCTCTGGACCATACCCAAGTTCTGTAGTGTTGGCTCCTCATGTGATTACAGCCTGGGTATCCTTAATTCAAAGTGCTCCTAAATCCCGAACTTTCCGAGCCCTGACGTGACACTGCAAGTGGAGAACTTGGTCTCTGAGCTCATATGATGGGCTGCAGTCCAAACACAGGTGCTGAGTTCTGTGTTGAGACTTGGATCTCAACCCTGAGATACCTCACTGTGCACGCGCAGCTGTTTGAAAGTCCACAGCACTTCTGATGCGAAGCCTTGTGTTTGAGGGATGCCCAGCCTGCACTACAGTTGCCTCAGCATGTGCTGGCCTCTTTCCACTATGAAAGGCCGTGCTGTTTGAGCGTGCCTTCCAGACCTGGTTCTGTGCTTGCTGCAGAGCCAGGCGGGACTTCGCGGAGAGAGTAAGAGCAAAGCAAGCCCGCAGCTTGGAGCGCCCTTTCTTGAGCGGGTGTTGGGAAAGCTGTCCTGCCGTGAGGCAAGGGCGCGTGAGCAAACGTGTGGTTGAGCATTTGTGTCCGACTGTTTCTCTGTAGATTATGATGCTTGGAAGGTGTGCTTGCGACTGCGAGATAACGGGCTTCTGGCCAAGCCGACGCACGGCGACATCATCAGGCTCGCGCCGCCGCTGGTGATCAAGGAGGACGAGATCCGGGAGGCGGTGGAGATCATCAACAAGACCGTCTTGTCTTTCTGAGGCTCGGGGCGGTCGCGAGGTCCCCAGGCGCTGGCTGGGGCCAGGACACCTGTGACAGCTCTGCTGTGTGTGGCACATTCCACTCCGCGTGTCTTCGTGACTTTTCTTTCCCAGTCGATGGGCTGATGTATGTGAGCCTGTAGCTTGCTGTGGAACTGAGAGCGCAGTGCATCTGTAGTTGGCTAAGTGTCTCGGTGAGCGCGTGCACTTTGAAAGCCAAAATGCATCTATCTGAATGTAGCTAGCCTTTGAGCCAACTCCTCTATCATGTATGTATGTCTTTCTAATGTCTCTGCTGGTCTAAATGTTTTGTATATGAAGAAGTTATCTCGAGTGTTGCATGAAAGACTTGCGTGATGTTAAAGTGAAGTCCTTGCAGTCACTGGGCTTTTGGAAGGATCAGTGGTCCCGCATCGCGGGGAGCCTCTTGCTGTGGGGAACCCTGCTTTTCCCTGAACTTGGTGTTGGCGGACACCACAGTGCATCCTGTTGTCATTATGCTTTAGAATTAAGTCTCATTGCTAAGTATTGCTGTAGTGCTTGATTATAATCTGTAACACAATGTTTATTTTCAGCATTGCTTTACATTTAAAATAAAACGTCGGTTTAAAATGTGTGGTCGCTGTGCTGTCTGCAGTCTGGTCAGTTTCCCATCACTGTCTTTGGGAATGTCCTTACCGTCTTGGACTCCATGTGTTTTCTGAGACCATGTCAGCTTCCTTGTGTAATCTACAGAGGAACAATGATTTAAAACCACATCTGGAAGTCTGCTGTTCCCCCTCCAAGTAATGGCTTTTTTCCTGTGCATATGCTGACATTCACTGTTTTTATTAAAGCCTTCCATGGTGTTTTGCAACTGCTTTGTTTTCATTTTGAATGTTCTGTGTCAGTAGTTAGAAGTGTATCTTTCTCAAATGACTCATGTTTTGTGTAGGATATGTTCACATTTTCCTCTCACCAGGGGACCATTTGATTTTTCACTGTTAATTAAAGCTGTGGGGCCAGCATTCTGGCTTAACAGGTTAAGCCACCGCCTGTGATACCGGCCTCCTATAGGGGCGCTGCTCCGCTTCCAGTCCAGCTCTTAGCGAATGTGCCTGGGAAAGCAGCCGAGGGTGGCCCATGGTCCTTAGGCCCCTGCACCCGCATGGATGGAGCTCCTGGCTCTGGCTTCAGTCTGGCCATTGCGGCCATTTGGGGAATAAACCAACAGATGGGAGAAATTCTCTCTCTAGCTCTACCTTCTAGTAAGTAAATCTTTAACCAAAAATAATAATAAGCTTGTGACTATTTTGTATGGTGCGAATGCTGTTGTTTGCTTTCCTTTGTGGGAAGAGTGTTTTTGTGGAACAAATCCCTCGAAGTGCCTTGCTGCTCAAAAGGCATGAACCTAAAATGAATTAACAGTGCATGGCTGCTCTCTGCCTCCTCCAGGCTCTAGCAGTTAAGCCGTGGCTGCTTGGTGAGTTTATATGTGAGCGGTCTCAGGTCCCCATACCAGGTACAACCGGGCTGGCCCCCAGGGGATCCAGTGTGGTCAAGGTTAGTAGCCTCTGTCTTGGAAATGCAGATGAAAATGTGAGTGGACCTGAGACGCCATCTCCCTCAGGATGCACAGGTGGCCTTAGCCCCTCTGATCGCTATCGGGTCAGTTTACACTCAGCAGATTCTGCTTATCAGAGCAGACTCAAAGGCCAGGTGGATGCAAAGCTCCTGGTTAAATTTGCAAAGTTCTGTTTAGGGTGGGCCTTGTGACAGCAGGTTAAAGCTTCTCTGGTTTGAGTCTTGACTGCTCTGCTTTGGACCAGCTTCCTGCTAAAGAGCCTGGGAGGCCATGGATGATGGCTGATTAAAGTCTTTATTGGGAGTAAGCTCCCACATTGGTTCACTCCCCTGATTCTCACAGGCGAGGAGGTGCAGGAGACCAGAGTCAGGAACTCAGTCCAGGTCTGCCGTGTGCATGGTGGGGACCCAGTTTTATGAGCCGCTACTGCTGCCTCTGAATCAGCAGGAAGCTGGAATTGGGAGATGGAACTTGGACTCAAACCCAGAGACTGCTGTGGGGCGTGGGCATCCTAACCTACATCTTAAACGCTAGGCCTACATGCCCAGCTTCCGGATAATTAAAAACAAAACAAAAGACACTTAATTTGAAAGACAGGTATCTATCATTTGCTGGTTCTCTCCCCAAATGCCCACAATAGTTGGGCTGGGCCCTGAGTGAAACAAAAAATTGGCAAATCAATCCTGGTCTCCCAAGTGGGGGGCAGGGACCCAAGTACTTGAGCCATCACTGGCTGCTACCCAAGGTGTGTATTAGTGTGAGGAGTCAGATGGGTTAATAGGTAGTCAAGGTCGTCCCAGTGGAATTTGGGTGTAAAATATTTTCTTCCTTTAGCAAGAATAAACAGGCCGCCCTTCTTCCCTTGGGATCTCCCAAATTTACCATGAGAATAGCAAGGGAGTGGTGATTTCATCTTCCTGAGCTCACGGTTTATTGTGAAAACAAGTTACCTACCCCACCCTCTGGGTGGGTTTTGTTTTATGGATAAATCAGGTCCTTTGGGTTTTGCCCTGCCTGGTGACTGAATACCAACCTGATTTTCAAGTGTTTTTTTCCTTTGAAATTGTATTAGGGGGCTGGCACTGTGGCCCAGTAGGTTAATCCTCCACCTGCAGCTCTGGCCTCCCATATGGGTGCTGGTTCTAGTCCTGGCTGCTCCTCTTCCAATCCAGCTCTCTTCTATGGCCTGGGAAAGCAGTAGAAGATGGCCCAAGTGCTTGGGCCCCTGCACCTGTGTGAGAGACTGGGAAGAAGCTTCGGTTGGTGCAGCTCTGGCCGTTGCAGCCAGTTGAGGAGTGAACCAACAGAAGCAAGACCTTCTGTCTCTTCCTCTCATTGTAACTCTACCTCTCAAATAAATAAATTGTATTTAAAAACCTGAATGCTACGAGGCCTTATGGGTCCTTCCTTTCTTGGAAGCCCCCTCCATGCCTCTCTGCCTGGAGGTCTTTGACTCTAATAAATCTTTTTTTTTTTAATTTTTTTATTTTTTTGACAGGCAGAGTGGACAGTGAGAGAGAGAGACAGAGAAAGGTCTTCCTTTGCCGTTGGTTCACCCTCCAATGGCCGCCGCGGCCAGCGCGCTGCGGCCGGCGCACCGCGCTGATCCGATGGCAGGAGCCAGGAGCCAGGTGCTTTTCCTGGTCTCCCATGGGGTGCAGGGCCCAAGCACCTGGGCCATCCTCCACTGCACTCCCTGGCCACAGCAGAGGGCTGGCCTGGAAGAGGGGCAACCGGGACAGAATCCGGCACCCCGACCGGGACTAGAACCCGGTGTGCCTGCGCCGCTAGGCGGAGGATTAGCCTAGTGAGCCGCGGCGCCGGCCTCTAATAAATCTTTAAATCTCTATCCGCTTGGAAATTCTTCCATGTGAGAAAGAACCAAGGCAACAGTAATTTCTCCGCTGCCGTTTTCCCATATCATTAGCAGAAGGCTGGAATTGGAGAAACTGGGACAGGAACTTGCTACTCTGATATGGAGTGTGGGTGTCCCAATTTTTTTATAAGGTAGAGCCACAGAGAGACAGAAAGTTCCTCCATCTGCTGGTTCACTCCCCAGATGGCTGGAACAGCTGGAGTTGGGCGATCCAAAGCCAGGAGCCAGGAGCTTCCTCTGCGTCTCCCACGCAGGTGCAGGAACCCAAGCACTGGGGCCATCTTCTGCTTTCCCAGGCCAGCAGAGAGCTGGATCGGAAGAGCAGCCGGCACTAGAACCGGTGCCCCTAGGGGATGCTGGCACCGCAGGTGGATGCCTAGCCTACTACACCATGGCACCGGTCCTCAAGCTATGTCTTAACCTTCGCCCAGATGCCTGCCTCCCCCTTAAAAATATTTTTAATTATTTCTTTGAGAAGCAGAGAGCAAGTGCTCCTATCTGTCAGTTCAGTCCCTAAATGGCTGCCAGAGTGGTCTAGCCCAGGAGCCAGGAACTCCATCCAGGTCTCCCACATGGGTGGCAGGAACCCAAATGTGTAAGCCATCACCTGCTGCCCCCCAGGGTGCGATTTAGCAGGGAAACGGAACTGAAAGTGGGGCCTAGACGCGAGCCCATGCACATCTGAGTAAGGTGTAGGGGTCCCAAGTGGGGGTGGAACCACTACGCAAGTGCCCACCCCAGTCAGAGACCAGGATCCGAGGCAGGCCGGCTGGAGGTGGTCCAGGTTCCTCAGGGGCGGGCTGGGAGGACAGCTCCTCTCTCAGGAGCACAGCTGAGGCCCATGGTGTGCAAAATCTTTTCAATTGTTTCTAACTTGCAGGGTGGATTCTTAAAAATACCAGCAGGAGCCATTCAAATGAATAATACAGACAGGAGAGCAGTTTAGTCTGTTTAGGGAAAAACTCTAAAATGTGTTTCAGGACGCCCTCCCTGCTCGCCCAGGAGTTTTATTAGCTCCCCAGTCTTTGTTCTGGTTAACTTGCAAATGAGACTTTTTCTCCTTATGCATCAGCTCAAACTGTTAATGAAATAACTACTTGGTAGTTTGCATCTCGACGCTGAAGCCCTGAGCAGCCCTGGGTGGGTGCTGAGGCCGGGGCAGCTTTGCTGGAATAAACTGGTAGAGCACCCGCAGCACCGGAAGCTTCTACGCCCGGCTTTCTCTAGGGGAGGGGGAGTCGGGAGTGTAGGCTGGCTTGAGGGGTTGTGAATGGTTACGGGGGGGGGGGGGGAATGAGTGGCCCCCGGGTAGAAGTGGGCTAAGGCTTTCTGGGAATCTGCACGTGCCTTGCAGGGGGAGTGCTCAGGTGGGGTCCCGGCACTCAGTCTGTCCTGAGATGGTACTGGGACCTCTCAGGGAGGGTGGGCCTGGGAGGCAGCGTGCTCCTATGAAGTAGGCAGGTTATACAGGTTAAAATTGGTCAGATTCGTGAACTGGAAGACCACGCTCCTGAGTGTCGCTCCCCCTCTTCGTGGAGGAACGACACTAAGCCCTGCCTAGGCTTCATATCCGAGTCACGGCACCGTTATGTCGCTCCCCGTCTTCGTGGAGGAACGACACAGGACCCTGCGCTGTTCTTTTGTCTGCTCGGCCCTCCCCGGGTTTGCTGCTGGTTCTTCCCGGGTTGGCTACTGACCCTTCCACCTCCGTGGAAGGGCGGTTCCCCCTGCCACATTCCCCACTTCCGCGGGGGAGCAGCACACCGCCGGCCGGCTCCCTCGGGGGCTGCACAGGTGTTCCCCTTAGATGTTCCTGGTGCATGCCGTCTCTCTCCTCCTTTATAATCCTCCTCCGCCAATCCCAGCTCGGCTGCCCACACGCCGAGTACGCTGCTCTCCTCCAATCAGGAGCGGCTCTTGCAGCTTATCAAGTTGGTAAGGGGCAGCTGGGTAGAAGCTGTACGCTCCTCTCCCAGCGCCACATTGTGGGAGAGCAGATGCATAGAATAAGTCTAAATTCCAGTAACAGTCTAGTCCGAGTTGCTCCCCACACCTGAGTGGCCTCATGCTCCTACCTGAAGCCTTTGCCACGCCCCTGTGTGCCTCATTCCCCTACCTGGCCATACCGGGGTGCCCACCAGCCAATCAGGTTAATTAACCACTCCCCTTTGGAGTG